TATATAGATAGTATATACTGTATATGCAAACGTTTGCAATCAACTATATTATTGATTATATAACATTTAAAAACATAAAAAAATATAAATGTTCTTCCTTTAGACATTTAATATATATTTCAGGTTAATGTATTAATTATATAGTATGTTTTATGTAATGGTCCTTTAAACAGGTTTACCTACTTAAACAACATCCATGGCAACAAACATTATACTGCATTATGTAATTTAAAGCTTCCTAAAATCTAGCAAAATCAGGAAAGGGCTTTGCTTGAAGGTTTGTTAGGAGCATATTGATTTAAGAAAAAAAAATGTTGGACAGAGAATGTCTAGTTCTTTTGAACTCAAACAATTCTTTAAACTCATCAGACAGACTGTTGCATTTCCATGGTCTTTTAATATCCTAGGGTTTAATATGGCCTCTAGCATCTGGAAGAAACATGATATTTCTGATGCATGTATATATTTAGTCCAGTCATTTGCTTTCAGACTATGTATTGTTAATGATTTACAAAGACTACATACAAATACTGAAGACAGATGAATAAATTGGACCTGCTAGGAAAAACAATTGTAGAGGCATTTCATGTTACTAGCTTTGTTCAACCATTTCAAAATGCAAAGTGTTAAAGTGGTCTTAACCCTTTCACATTCCTCTAAACCTGGGGTCTCAAATGATCTTGGCCTGCTGGGAATGTTTTCATCTTCCATGGGGGCCACTTGCAATATTTCCAGTACAAGATAGTGCTTGCTGCCAGTCATTGCTTACTGTCAGATTTCACACAGGTATGTACTTCCAAATAAGAGTGAGGGGGAAACCGCAAGAAGTGAGACTGAGCAGAGACAGCCAGGGTAAAAAGTGAGGAGAAACAGCCAGGAGAGAGAACAAGGAGAGACAGCAAGGAGAGAGAGAGTGAGGAGAGACCATCAGGGGAGACAGCAAGGAGAGGACCATCAGGGGAGAGAGTGATGAGAGACAGCCAGGGGAGAGAGCAAGGAGACAGCCAGAAGGATGAGCAAGGAAAGACAGCCAGGAGAGAAAGTGAGGAGAGAGAGTCAGGAAGAAAAGCGAGGACAGACCGCCAGGGGAGAGAGAGGAGAGACAGCCACCAGAGTGTGCCCTTTAAGACTTATCTGCACCCTGTGTTTCAGTCACCTCCTTGCTTCTCAGGTACCAGCATCCCCCCGTGTCCATGTCTCCTCCATGCACTCAAGTTGGAACACCAGGACCCCGTGGTTGCCCCTGTCCGACTGGCATTGTGACATCTTGTGTCTGGGTTTCAGCTGGCCTGAAACCCGGACACAGCAGAAACAGGACTCAAAACCCAGAATGTCAGGTGAATCCCAGACATGTTGCAACCACTGGGTGGGAGGCCTTGGGCCCCCTCCTGGCGTGTGCCCTCAGGCAGTGCCCAAGTGCCAGAACGGCCAGTCCTCCCCCGGAGTTGATCTGCCCACTGGCTGTGTCACTCATCTTCTGTCTGCCACTCTAGGATCAAAGGACAGCTGCTGTGGGCCCCAGTAAATTATGGGGCCCAGAGCAGTTGCCCCTTTTGCCCTGCGGAAAAGATGGCTCTGATTGGTGACCTTGCCTGTGGGCCAAAAGTATCCTGCCCATGGGCTGGTAGTTTGAGACCCCTGCTCTAGACTCAAAGGCTGTTTTTGAATGTAATAGTGGAGACAAAAATACATTCAGTCCCAATATCTACGAAAGGGGTCTTCCTGCCAAGTTGCGTTTGGCCGGTTTTGCAATATAAAGCTTCCTTGAGAGGGATAGCCACAGTTGATTTCTCAAAATCAATCATTTTACTTAGAGCAAACCAGCATCTTCAGAGGGCCTACCAAGAGGGGAGGATCCTTCAGCATTCAACCCCAGAGGGTAAACCTAGGGGCGACAGAAAGCTTACAAAACAGTCCTCCTAGGGCCTAAACTTCGAAGAGAAATACCATGTGAAAATGTGATACCAAACATCCCCAGCTCACACTTCCAGGATCAGGTCCCCAATATTGAAATATTCATGATACATATTTTTAATTGTTAACACAGTAAGCACAGACTGCTAGAGCATGCTCAAACACTAGCAAAAGTAATAACAATCCATGCTTAGACACACTGACCATAAAGGATACATTTTGACTAGCAGCAGCCTGTCAACTGGCAGATTTCACAAAAATATAAAAGAAGTTTACTGTAAAATTACCATATTCCTACAAAGACAATGCTTTTCCCTATGTATATGCAGTATATAAACTACATTTAAAACTGCTTACAAGCATTCTTGCTTTCAAATGATTCAACCATTTAATAGCAAAAGTAAGAAGGCACAAATATGGTTTGTCGGAAGATGCAGATACAGAGGATACAGAAGAAAAATTAGAAATAAGTCTTTCAACCATTTATTTTCTATTTCTTGTTATTAATTCCCATAGTGTATATACTATTTTAGCTAAGCAGGATTTGATTTAATTGCAAATTGACACACTAACTGGAAGGCATCTGAAAATTAATTTAAAAAAATATATTTTGTACTACTTTATTGCATTAGGTACTTTCAATAGTGTAAAGTTCATTTTGCACACCCACATTGCCATATCAAGCATTATGACCGGCATGATCAATCAAATTGAGTTTGAGTTTTGCACATGTAAAGTAAAGGTAAATGTTCACTTACATGCCCCTTTTCTTTGGGCTGGCATATCCCAGTTTTGGGAAGAATGTTATATTTTTTCTCCTCAACACAGAATGCAGCACTGGGTCTCTGACTAGCCATTCGCCAGGGCTCATCACTGAAACGTGGTGGAAATTCTTATTCCTGTGTAAGCTTTGACCAGAGCTAATGGGAGCTTGCACAGGGTTTTTTCTCTGCACCCAATGGTGATTGGAGAAATGGCAGAGAAATGTGAAGGTGAGTATGAGCAGTTGGGGGGGGGTGTTGGCATTTAACGTTCAACTCTGAGATCTGCCTCTCAACCGCTATCCCCTCCTCTCCTGGAGGCTTCATCAGCAGTATTATTTCACTTTTTTGTATACTTACCTTACCTAGGTGTCTTAAGGCTGGTCACTTGCCATGCAGGGTCCTCTACTCTTCAGATATTCTCATAGCAGTAGGCGGTTCATGACATCCTGCACTTACCGTATTAGCATTGTATGAAGAAGTGAGTGGCAACCTAGATGGAGGAAAGCCAGTGGACGTAGTATACCTTAATTTTGCAAAAAAACATTTGATACGGTACTTCATAAACGTTTAATGTACAAGCTTCAATCTTTGGGCATTGATGAAATGGTGTGTACTTGAACATATCCAGAGAGTATCAATAAATTACTATTATTATTATGATACAGGATTTATATAGCGCCAACAGCTTGTGCAGTGCTTTACAATATAAGGAAGACATTACAATCACAATACTATTCAAGACAAGATGGTAAGGAGGGCCCTGCCCGTGAGGACTTACAATATAAAAGGGGGGGGCAAGTGATACATGTGGAGGTAGCTGTGTGTGGATGAATTGTTTGAGAAAATTATGGTTCAGTGGTTAGGTTGAGGTGGGATAAGCTTCCCTGAAAAGATGAGTCTTAAGGGATCGCCTAAAGGCAGTCAGAGTGGGAGATAGTGGGACAGGTTGGGATAAAGAGTTCCAGAGGATGGGATAGACTCTAGAGAAGTCCCGGAGGTGAGCATGGGAGGAGTTGACGAGGGAGCTGGAAAGCAGGAGGTCATTGGAAGAGCGGAGGGGGTGGTTAGGGTAATACTTTGAGACCAGGTTTGAGATATAGCCAGGGGCAGAGTTGTGGATGGCTTTGTAAGTGGTTAACATTTTGAATTTTATCCTTTGGGCTATTGGAAGCCAGTGCAGGGATCGGTAGCAGGGGGTTTCAGACACTGAGCGGTTGGTTAGGTGAATGAGTCTAGCAGCAGCATTTATGATAGTCTGTAGGGGGAATAGCCCGTGTGGTGGTAGGCCAAATGGCTTATTTTCTGAATGGTTCTTGGTTGGTAATGGTGTGTCTTGGGGACATTGGGGACATGGGGTTCTGTCTTGGGGACATTGCTGTTCAACCTGTTTATCAATGATACTGGGAATGGTATTATTAGCAATATTTCAGTTTTTGCTGACGATACCAAAACTTGACAGAAGACTTAACAATATTACAGAAAGACCTGGATAAAATAGGGGGGTAGACATCTGCATGGCAGATGAGGTCTTATATTGAGAAGTGTAAAGTTATGCATTTTGGAGTTAAAAATACACATGCAAGCTACTCATCCCACTGGGAGAATCAGAGGTGGAAAAAGATTTGGGAGTCCTAGTGGACATCCGTCTTAGTAATAGCATGCAATTCCAGGCTGCAGTAAATAAGCGAGCAGGGTACTATCATGCATAATAAAAGGGAATGTGCGCTAAAGACAAATCCATAATTCTGCCCCTACAAAACACTGATTTTGACACATCTTGAGTATGTGGTTCAGTTTTGGTCACCAAACCACAAAAAGGATGTCCTTGAGCTGAAGAGAGTCCAGAGAAGGGACAACAAAGCTAATAAAGGGGTTGGAGGACCTAAAGTATGAGGAAAGACTACATGCATTAACCTATTCACTCATGAAAAGAGGAGATTGAGAGGGGACATGATAATAATGTACAAATTGTTTAAAGGAGAACTATGAGGGGAGTGATTTTCAATCAACCTCATAGTTCAAGCCGACGTGTGACAATGAAACTGTCACACGTCGGCTCAATAGATCGGGAAGTGAGCGAACACATACCGTCGCTCGCTCACTTCTTGATCCTGTCCCTGCAGAGAGCCGTGACTGTCACTCACGGCTCACTGCAGGGATTCCCCCCTCCCCTCTCCGATCCTCCAACTCTGACTGAAGGGATGGACGGGGGAGGGTACAGCTGGCTCTGCCTCTAGATAGGCAGGGCCAGCTTTCAATCACGCAGCTGGGTGGATATCGACAGTAATGTCAGGATCCATCCCGGCTGCGGCTGTCTCAGTATACCGCGATCTGTAGCTCGCGGTATACTGAGCTTTGGGTCACGGGAGGACGCTAGTTTGTGTCCTCCTGTGACCCTGACCCTGAGGAGAACTATGGGGAAAAACACATACCCCATAGTTCTCCTTTAATGATGATGGGATAATCAGTAATACACTGTTGACTTTAAGTTCACTCAAGAAGACAAGAGGACACCACAAACATACACACAACCACATACTGTAGGTTGAACTAGATGGACCTGTGCCTTTATTCAACCTTAACAACTAAGTAGCTATGCATCAGTTTGTCCTCAGTCTTCTGGGCATCATTTAACCTGGCAGAAGTATCGTGAGGGACAGCTCTGCATTAACGGTGAATATTGCAGCAAAAGCAGAATTTATGGTTTGATAAGCTCCTGTGGGACCTTTATAAATAAAAAAGGAATTAACCTTCATGGGAAAAGCACAGGTGCACTATTAAGAAATTTGATAACAAAGTAATTCTTCCCATCCTCAGACATTTTGCCATTTTTATATACATAATGTCATCTAAATGCAGAAAGTAGAGCTGTGCAATGATCTGTGAATTTGTTTGCATTATTTATAAATATCTCCTTATGGGCTTAATGAAGCAAGTTTGATTTGCAACACATTTTGGAAAAAACATTGCAGACAGAGTTTTGCTAAAAACTTACATTTATATTTAGATGTCTAATTCAGTTTGCAAATTAAATCACAGAAAATCCATTTTAGTATTTTAGTAATATTATAGTAATGCATATTACATATTACTATATATATATAGTGATGCATTATAGTAATGCATCAGGTAATGTAAAACTTTAGCACCATAGTATTTTCCTGGCATTCATTCTAGTTTGTACTTTACAAATAAGATATTTTGCATTTCATAGTAAGTCTTTTATAGTAAATGTTTATGTGTGATTGTAAATCTTCACACGTTGGAAAAATAATTCTACCTATTGCATTTCCTCTTGTAATTCTGGCTTTGATTCAGATCTGCTTACTTAAAATCCTTTTAAATCCTGTAATTAAAGCACTTTAGTAGAGCTGTGTCCCAATTGGTGTGGTCAAATGCTCGCCAGGCATAAACTGTACTTATTTTATTCATTAGAAATCCTTGATGAGGTTGAAACAAAATTAGATATATACTAGATGCTTTAAATATGTTTGCTCTAAAGGATTAGCTGAAGTTAATATTTATAAATACATTATGATTATGGTTTCCCTGGTGATCCTACCTAAAACTAAGTTAAACAAATAAAAAAATGAAATACACATATGGAGCTGTTTTACCTGCCAAAGGATTTGGATTTATGTCCATCCAGTTCTGATATTTATGATGCTCTGCCACACAGCACAGTCCTGTCTGGCAGGGTAGTGGTTCTGATATTGCTCTGTTGCAATTAAATAACACTTACTGGTCTTGTCTCTTCCACAGCCTTTGACTGGACAGTGATAGAGGAAGAAGCAGACTGATAACCATACTGTGATTGTGTGTCTGTCACTCTGCTCTTCCCTCCTTTCAGCATAACCCCTGTTAGCATGTGAGCCCTGCAGTACAACTGATTGTATTCTTGTGCTAATTCTACCTCTCCCAACCTGAGCACCGCTATACGTAAATTGCAAGATACTCATACGAGGTCAGATTCAGGTACTGTTTGCAAGAAAAAATACATTTGATGATATATTAATGAATACAGAGTTAATGTTCATTCTTTTTACCTCTCTGGAGTTCAGTCTCAATAAATGTCACACCCTTCCTACCCCTCTATGCATTGTAAGTATATAGCTTTCCAAAATGGAACTGACATTTTTTTCTTTATTTTGCACTAGCTTGCTAAGCCATTTTCATATTCACTTAATAAACCAATGCTAAGAGCATTGGTGATGTGCAAAGTACTTTATCTCAGCATTTGAATTAATCTGAATGATCTCAATTGGTATGTTGCTATTTGTGGCTACATTTTATATATGTTTTTCTCTCTTTGCAATACCTTATTAAATTAGTAGGTACAGATTGGCAACTTTTTAACTATCTCCCTAATGCCACTGAGCAAATTAAATATTCAGTCAGTTAAAGAACTTTACCCACATCTTTGAAATTACAACAACTACACCTTCTAGATAATTGCAGGCTGTTTATTCTTTGCATACCTTGTTTTTCTTTCCCTTCCAATTCTTCTCACAGTGGCCATTTTTACTAAGGGCAGATTCATATACCTTCCTTTACTTCCTAGTTTCCCTCTCTAGTATTTGGGTGCGGAATACTCCTTTAGGCCAACAGTCTAATCCCTTGCCTCGGGTAGCCCCATCAGTTGCTCCTTATGATCATCACTGTGCAACTGCTCAGAAGATTGCACCTCCCCCAGTCTGCCTGGATTTCTTCCACCCCTTGGCCCTTGCTTCAGTCCACGTGTTTATTTGTTTTTTTGATCTGTAGCCTCTACTACCTTCCTTAAAAAATTGCACTGTCTTTGGCACGTGGAAAACCCTCATGATACATGGTACCCCTCAGTGCAAATTCTCTCCAGAGGAACTTCCTAACCTACAAGGTGGACCAGAACTAGCTCTGACTGGGTTCTGAGCAGGCCAATGGGCCTATTTCTTTGGACCAGGTAGTTCCTGGCGTGAATATTCAGGCTCCTTAAGTGACTAGGATAGTTTTCAATTCCTGCATCAGGATGAAGGGTTAAATAAAAATGTAACCTGTGCAGTATGTTGGGAAGCTGCAAGGGGAAATTTTAGAGATACACAGAGTTTGGCTTCTTATTTACCAAAAAAATGTTATTGAACATCTTATAAGATGTATAACAAATGTACGTGTTGTTGACAGATTTACACATTTTACAGCAGCTAGTGCATAGGAAAACTGGATGCTGGATTATTCAAAACCTCCATTATTGTCTGTTATGAAGGAAGTAGCTTACAATAACATCAGCATATCTAGGCACAACATTCCATTTTTAATTTATCTGAAGATTAAAGCATCTAAACCCTGTTAAACAACAATAAGTATAGACTACATTTTAAACAGATTGTTAGAATATCAAGTATTGAATAACGATCATCAAAATAATAGCTTTATGTTCTGGGAAGCAGCTTAGTCTGCGGTGCTCGGAAAAATAACAACAGTGTATAATAAGCAGATGAAGGTTAATGAAAATTGTCTTACAGCTAGTGAGAAACTATAATAATTATGGAAAGCCCTAGAGCAAAAACCTAACTTGCAGAAACAAGGGAATTTTAATCAAGGTAAGAAAGAAGGTGATGGAATCACTCAAGCTGCCTGATGATGCCAAATAATACATCATATTGCAAATGCATTTAGCTGCTCCACCGTTACATATGATGCAAATGTAGAATATTCGATAGGGTATTTCAATGATCAAATAAAAACAGAAGTCTGAGTGCCAAGTGGTTTGATATATGTCTGTATGACCAACCACTGAATATGTATAGGAGATTTCACTTTTGAATTTCACTAAAATGCTAACATTTAGTCAAGATTATTTATTAATTTGCAAAGTGCTATTTCCAGGGTCATCGCTAGGCTTAATCATTTGTATGAGCACCTAGGACCTTCTCATTGGTGGCAAGCATTCATACATGATC